GATAATTTTTTCTTAATCTCAATGCACGTTTCTTACTGTGCTTCCATACAATACACGATAAAGCATATGAAAGCATAAATACTGCCATAGCTATAAATATAACAAAAGCCCTAATTCCAGCAAGTAGGTTCCAAGCTAACTTCACTCTGGTTTTTCTTGTTTTTCAGGTTTCATCTGTGGGAAGAAGAGATAATCTAAATAAACTTACAGAAGCAGGAATAAATGCATTCCCGAGTACTACATTCGAAGTTACCGCCACTACCAAAGAAATAAAAGATAATTTTAAAGAAGGTGATACTACTTACCAAGAAGTCACGCTTGCGGGTAGATTGATGTCAAGACGTATCATGGGCAAAGCTTCATTTGCTGAATTGCAAGACTCCGAAGGTCGTATTCAAATATATATTTCTAGAGACGACATTTGCCCTGGAGATGACAAAGTTCTATATAATGATGCATTCAAAAAATGGTTTGACCTTGGTGACTTTATTGGGATCAAAGGGTATGCATTCTATACACAAGTAGGTGAATGCTCAGTACATGTTACGGAACTGACTCTCCTTTCAAAATCGCTCAAACCACTTCCTGTTGTTAAAAAAGATGATGAAGGCAATGTCTATGATGCATTCACTGACCCTGAACAAAGATATAGACAAAGGTATGTAGATCTTGTCGTAAACTCGCATGTAAAAGACGTATTCGTTAAACGCAGCAAGATGTACAATTCTATGCGCGAATACTTAAACAATAAAGGATATCTAGAAGTAGAGACGCCTATTCTTCAGCCTCTATACGGTGGAGCAGCCGCAAGACCTTTCACAACGCATCACAATACACTTGACATGAAGCTTTATCTTAGGATAGCTAATGAATTGTATCTTAAAAGATTAGTTGTTGGTGGATTTGATGGTGTATATGAGTTTAGTAAGGATTTCAGAAATGAAGGTATGAGTCGTTTTCATAATCCTGAGTTTACACAAATAGAGTTGTATGTAGCTTACAAAGATTATGAATGGATGATGAACCTAGTGGAAGAAATGGTAGAAAAAGTTGCCATCGATCTACACGGAACTACTGAAGTACAAGTCGGAGACAATATAATCAACTTCCAAAGACCTTGGAAAAGATATACCATGTATGAAGCAATTCAACATTTCACAGGTATTGATATCAGTGATATGGATGAAGACCAACTTCGTAAAACAGCGCGCGAGCTTCACGTTCCCGTAGATAATAGTATGGGAAAAGGCAAGCTTATTGATGAAAT